TCCTGTTGGGTGTGTGAGTGAGTGTCTCAGTACCTGAGTTCATATCCTGTTCTCTCTTCCTGGTTTTGCTGAAACTGAGGCCTGTGAATCTGAGTGAATATTATATCATTATCTATTACTGTTGTTTCTTGAAACGGAAATGGATATTTGGGAACTGGGGAAAAAATCCCTGAAAAAGGTCAAGATGATTGGGTTTTATAGAAGCAGGGGAGCATTTATCTTCCTGTGCCTTTGAGCTGTAGATGACCTACCTCGGCTCTCAGGGGAAGAAGTTTTTGTTGTTGTTGGTTTTGTTTTTTTTTAAAACTCAAGCGAGGAAACTGTGAGATCCTTGGTTCTGTCTGTCCTTACGTAAAAAATTAACTTGTAAATGACCTCTGTTTAATTGACTTAAAAGTAAGTGCTTACAAATTAAATTCTAAATATAAAAGAAGCTAGACAGAACAGATTTCAGGTTCATGTGATCTAGAAAACATTCAATATTGACTTGACATCTGATATTAAAGATATTAAAGCTTAAGCTTGTTGGTGTAATCAATACAGACATGGCTTCTATCGCACCTAAGTTTACTGAAGGTCAATAAGTTCACGTTTCTGTTGCAGAGTTTGTCAGCAGAAAGAAAAAAATTAACTTGGTGTGATGAAATTTTATAAGTAAATTAAATGCAAATGAGCTAAGAGCTTTTGGGTGAACTCTTTAGAAATAATTGTTTTAGGAATGTCTGCTTAAAAATGATCTCTCTAGATATTTGGTAACTTTACAGTTTAGAGTTGTGCTGAATTAAGTTAAATGATGGAAGTTTATTGAGCGGTTGAATAGCTAAGTCATTCCAAACAAAATAAGATACTGAAACAAACATTCACTAGAAATTAAAATTTTTAAGAATTGAGGATTCTAATTTAAATATGTAATTGAAGCTACTAAAAAACGGGGGAACCATTTCAGTATACAGTAGGAAAGTAGGATACAGGTTTTGATTAAAAAAAGAAAAAAAGAGAAAGAGTTATGAGGAATGGAATTGCATTTTGTTAAGAGGAAAGGGAGTGATCTGGTTCCAGAGCTGGTTATTTCTAGATGGGGAAAAATAGAGCACTATGGATACAGAAAGTTGTGGAAAGTTTGCGGAAAGGGAGCCCTAACAAAGGAGCTCTGTGCCTGGCTGTGCTGAGTAAACTTAATTAGGTAAATGATTTTGTTATTAAAAGTGGGCTGGTACAGGACTAGGTGTGGTGCCTCCCTGTTAAGAGAACAAGTTTATTAGAATGCGTGTCGTAACAATATTACTAATTATCAGAGAAATGCAAATCAAACATACAGTGAGGTATCACTTCACACCAGTCAGAATGGCCATCACTTAAAAAGAGCATGAAGGATAAATGCTGGAGAGGGTGTGGGAAATAGGGACCCCTCCTACACTGCTGGTGGGAATGCAATTTGGTGCAGCCATTATGGAAAACAATATGGAGATTCTTCAAAAGACTAAAAATAGACTTACCCTATGATCTGACAATCCCAGTTCTGGGTATATGTCCAGAGGGAACTCTAATTTGAAAAGTTACATGCACCCCAGTGTTTATAGCAGCACTATTTACAATAGCCAAGACATGGAAGCAACCTAACTGTCCATCAACAGATAAAGGAGTTGTGGTATATATTTACACGTGGAATACTATTCAGCCATAAAAAAGAATAAAATAATGCCATTTGCAGCAACATAGGTGGGCCTGGAGATCATCATACTAAGTGAAGTAAACCAGAGAGAGAAAGAAAAATACCATATGATATCACTAATATGTGGAATCTAACAAAATGACACCATTGAACTTATTTACAAAACAGACACAGACTCACAGACATAGAGAAGAAATTTACAGTTACCAGGTGTAAAGAGGGTGGGAAGGGATAAATTGGGAGTTTGGGATTAACAGATACGAACTATGATATATAAAATAGATGAATAAAGTTCTACTGTACAGCACAGGGAACTATTTCAATACCTTATAGGAACCTATGATGAAAAAGAATATGAGGGGGGAGGGTGTAGCTCAGTGGGAGAGCCTGGGCTTAGCATGCACGAGGTCCTGGATTCAATATCCAGTGCCTCCCTGTAAAAAAAAGAAGCTTCAAAAGAAAAAGAATATGAAAAGGAATATATATACATATATGTATGACTGAAATACGTTGTACACTAGAGATTGACACACATTGTAAACTGACTGTACTGCAGTACAAAACAATGCTTCTGGTAACAGATTGTGTGAAACTTTGTGATACTTTTCACAAACTTCCTATCAAAATCTAATTAAAGTTCTTTTGACTGCAGTTAACCTTGGGGTGCTTCAGAGGGTCCCTGAGGCATCGCAGCGAGAAGCATTCAAGTGACTAGGGATGCTTGGTGCGCTGAGTTGCATGGGAGACGTTGTCGACTGAGTGATAGGCCGCCTCAGATTATACAGTATGGATAAGTGTTATTAATATAGGTATTCTAGGAATGATAGAGAGTGTTTGATATTTGGATGTGTCCTGGTATAATGCGGTCAGTCACGATTCTGATGGTTCTCTTGGAATGCTCCAGTCTCAGCACCTTATCGAAGCTTGCCAAAACAGTATAATCAGGGTTTTTACCTTGCCTTTTAAAATCTCTTGTCATTCATAGACAGGTAAGCTGGTGCTTTGCAAAACTGCTTCGCCTTCAAAAAGACCCATAAAAGGGACTTTTTGACAAGTACACGTTTCTTATAAACCATGCTGCTGAGCTGGGTAAAAGATGTAAGACGTCTAATGAAAACTCTGACTTCATGAAACTGTTAGTAAAAGGACTGATTACACAGGATCGCGTGAACTGATGAGGATATGAGGCTGGGCGGATACTGTCATCCCTTGGTGTTTGCGGGCAATTGGTTCCAGGACTCCCCACAGATACCAAAATCCAAGGAGGTTCAAGTCCCTTACAGTCAGGCCTCTGGGTGTGGAACCCACAGATATGGAGGAATGACTGTATTTAAAAGTACGTTTTGTAGTTTCTGATAATGTTAAATGTACACCTACCCATTGACCCAATAATTCTACTTTTATTTATCCAAGGGAAATGACATGACCACAAAAGACTTGTAGACGAATGATCATGGCAGCTTTGTTCACAGTTGCCAAAAGCTACAACCCAAATGTTTATCAACAGGTGAATGAGTTAACAAACGTAATGCATCATACATCAGAATACTTAGCAATGAAAAAGGGACAAACTACTGAGAGACTAAAAAATATGAATGTCTTATGTTGATCCAAATAAGTCATGCACAAATGAGTGCGTACTCTGAATTCCACTTATAGAAAGTTTCAGAACAGGTAAGAACTAATCTATGGTAAAAAAAAAAATAGAAAAGTTATTAAGTCAGTTCTGGCAGAACTGACGAGGGGCAAGAGGGAACTTTCTGGGATAAAATAAATGCCCTGTATATGGATAGGCCTGGGAGCATACACATTCTTCAGACTGAACATTTAAGGTCTGTGCATTTCATTGTGCATAAATTTTACATAAAAGAGCTGAGAACAAGTACTGAGCTCTAGTTAATGGAGTTGCTTTTCAGAGAGGGATGGGGTAGAAGTTTGTCAGTTCCCTTCCTCTGTTCCAAACTGTAAAATCTTGTTCTTAGGATAAAACTCACTAAAGTATGTGTCAGTAAGGGGCACAGTGTCTCTAATACTCTCAAATAATTTTGAAAAAAATAATAAAATTGTGACAGAGAAAAGGAGAAAGGCTAAGCAAATGAAGGAAAACACAATTTGTGACAGTGCACAAGATACATCATAGTTTTAAATGCGCTCACGGCTTTCCTGTTAGTCTGAAATTATATCAGCATTCATCGCTGAATTGAATTGTAAGATAAATGAATTTTATATAAAACTTAAATTTTAAAGCAAAAAACCCAAAACACATAAAACTCTACATAAAACTTCTTTAAAAGTCAATAAGCAAAGAAATCCATAGTTTGTCATGATTTTTATTTAACACGTATGTTGTGACCATATTTCCATGCCAGACATTAAAAACCTACTTCACTTCGCAGCCCAGTGTTTGTCTCGGATGAACGTTAATAGGATGTATTTTGTCCATTCACTTTTGATGGACACGTAGGTTATTTCTGATTTTTTTATTACAAAGATGCAATGAATATCATTGTACGTATTATCTCTCTGTACTTGTCGGGACACAGAGAAACATTTGAAAACTACTTGTCCATCTTCTAGGAGTAAAATGATTGTTTGCATTTCTCGGTTTCCTGGTGAAGTTGAGGATCTCGCCACGTGAGGTGCCAGTGGGCTGTGACTCACCTTTGATCGCTTGCTTTCTCATGCAGATCGCTCACGTTTCTCAAGGGTAATTCGGCTTTTGCTACTGATTGATTTAAATGCGTGTCTAGTAGGTGGGAGGTCTGTTTCTCCAGTGTCTCATTTGCCTTCAATATGATGGTGTTTGGAACCATAAAATTTTGAGGGGGGGTACTTTTTTTTTAAACTTGTTTATTCTTAATAGGAGTGCTAGGGATTGAACCCAGGACCTTGTGCATGCTAGGCAAGCTCTCTACCACTGAGCTATACCTTCCCCTGGGACCATAAAGATTTTTAAATAAGCACATGAGGGGTCTGACTTTCAGAGACC